GGTGGTGGTGGTGGTGGTGGTGGTGGTGGTGATTATTGTAGTGGTGATGAGGGATAAGGTGGAAGATGAAGGAAGGAAGAAGATGACGTTCCTGACTCCGCGATTTGGCCGTCCTAGAGTTAAGGATATGATACTGCCTACCACGGATTGCAGAAATGTCAGCCGCTGAAAGTCGCCAAACGCTCTACCGCCTCCTTAAACAGAGTGCCAAGTAATAGGGACTTCTTAAATGAGGCTGCAACACTGATGCGATGGGTGTACCATTTTGTCACCGGCTACCCATATTTTCGTAAACATGGCTTATTTTTGCAAAAGTAATTTAGACAAAAAACGTTTGCCTCTGGTTCCGTGCAAATATTTAGGCCTCTAAAGCCTCGTGGTTCCATTTTATAATCGTCTGGGACGGTTCCGTCAATGAATATATTCCTAGGTTAAACGCGATTTATGTCAATGTATAGATGCTTTTGAGTTCTTTATTTCGTAACAGGATGAGGAGAAATGTCAAGATGGAACCGTTAAGCCATAGGATCATCCAAATTCTGGTTTCCTCCAAGAACACTGAAAGTCTTATGCGACAACAAGGGCATTCTGATCGCAGCATCTAACACGGATAATCCTGTTTCGATCTAGAACTCCACTCCATAACCGGAGAACGCAGACATCAACAAAACCAAGGATATTGCACTCTCTACCGTACATAAATGACTTTTCAGAAGCAACCAAGCGCATTGCTGCTAAATTAGGTTTTTAAAATTGCACACTGACTTAAAACCACTTTGCGCAGAAAAAATCATGAAAATTTATGATGTATCTCGAGGTTAACTTCGTAGTCATCATGATAATCGCCCGCGCCGAAAACGAGACAAGCCGAGGGTTTATTGAAGCGTTGGCCCGAGAAGATAACTCCGTCGATCGACCTATCGATCTGCCGTCGGCGTACAGGGCCGTACGCAGTCACTTCCAACCCTGAGTTATTGATCGATAATTGGCTTGTACCTCCTGTAATTGCAATCATTCTCTGGCGCTGAACTCCTGCACGAGTTGGAAAGTTGTGAAAAATGTGCAATTTTTTTCCGGTGCCCCACCAGTTCTCTTTACGTGTACATACACTCGGGACTCGAACTTTCGTCTCCATATGGATACTTCCGTTTTGGTCCAGAACCCTCCCAGGCGGACACATAGCCCTCTGACAACTGATGACTATAATTAACCTAGAAATAGCAATTCTTGTCCTCCTTATTTTGTGAGAAAATTGTCTTCACATGACGGTGGGCCAGGTTTCGAAGACTCTTTATTACAAAATTAAGCTAACTTTTCAGATATAAAATCTGACGAAGGCACGATTTCCCGTAAGATGGCAGTTAACGAAAATGGGCAGACTAGTCTTTTCTAAGACACCAGTTTGCTCTTCATAAGTACTGAATAAAAATGGAGAATTCTATGCGACTGAGACAGTTAGAGTTGGTCCGCATGGTTCTCGGCCGCAGTGTTGAAAGTTAACTAGACCCCTAATCGATGACGTTTTCAGTGATTTTGTTGGCTTTCGCCTGAATTTTGGCGCCCACCCTAAGGCGACAACGAGTTCCCCGACGACAGCCCATAAAAGGATTTCAAAGCCTCTTTTCCGACAGCCCTGTTGATGGGCAGTGCATCAGCGTGAAAATCGTTTAACCCCTTGAGATCGATTCGTTTTATTCTCACGATTGTCCAGGACTCAGATCATCTGATGTATTAAATGTCCACTCTTACGTTTTCTCTCCTGCTTCCAGTCGGCCTATCCCCCATCCCATTACCTTCGACGGGTGCCACAACGTCGGATACACCTCTTCACTGCACTCCAGTTGCTGCAATTGGGTATCCTCTGCGGCTGTGGATTCGCGGAGATCCCCTTCGTCAAGATTGGTTTCCCTATCCTCCTCTTTCTCCAACTCCTCGTCAGGTAGGCCTGAGTTGTGCCTTCAATATCTGTCTTTAAAACGAAATCTGGTTAGATGGTAGTTGGTAGCCCTCCCGGTACCCCAAACTCCCAGCTACCTGACTTACGGGACCGGTGCTAATAGGGGCTGTACAGGTGGGGCAACTGAGTGGAGGCGTAAATGGCGTTTGTAGGGAATGCCTGGAATTGACGATCCTGATAAAGTAAAAAACTTAATTTAACTAAGGTGAAAAATGCGAGGAAGGTAAAAACTTCGGATCTGACTGACGTATGAGACGCCTTGTTGTTGTAGTCTGAACCCAAGAGGTAGTAAGCGCGGGATGTGGTAGGTGAATTGCACCCCGTTCAAAGCCAGCAATGTCGAAGGCCCGGGGGGTGCCGTAGTGCCTTAAACTGCAAGTGCAGGAAAGGATCGCTAACTGGCCATGGCGGTGTTTACAAGGCGTCACAGTTTTCAGCCAAACCCCTGCGACCAAATACAACTGGGCTGTTCGTAAAGGCGGGGGGTGGAGGGCAACACTCTGTCCATATGACTGATGCAGTGGATGGAGTATCGGTAGACACCCTAACTGAGCATCGATTGTCCTTTCATACACGATCGCACCGGACTCTAGTGGAGGTCTGGAGTAAAAAGACCCAAGGATGCAGGCAAACCGACGAAACGGAGACCCGCACCAATCCGCCTAGGATAGTAGCTATGCAATTAATCTGATCCAGGTAATACTGTGCGCACATGCAACTAGAAGCATAATAGGAAGCATTTAGGATAAATCTTTCGCCTTTTACTAAAGATTTCCGTGTGGGGGTGCAATACAATGAGTCTATATAGACAGTCTTGCAGCGCCTCGTTCTCGGGGCAGTTAAAGTGAAGAAGAAAGTCATCCTGACAGGGCCTCTGTGCGTGCACCCCCCAGACATAATGAGAACGTTATCACAGATACTGAAATCGAGCCAGTAGGTACAATTGTAGACTCAGTGGGCAGGGCTACCAACTACCATCCTGCCCAAAATCTAACCTGGAATCCCAGTCCTTCTCGGATACGAGGGGCTCTGCCCCATCAGCAGACTCAAGTTTGCCTCAAGATATGCTTGGCCGACAGTGTTAAAACGAAACAAAGTAGTCACAAAATGGAGGCTCTGTTTACCTATATGTTTAAATATTTTTATTTCAAATTGGACATAAAGGCTGTTTTGCTCTTGTTGATTCTAACGCACTCCACAAGGATGAAACACTACTTTTGGTGATTACCTTGGTCTGTTTATCTAGCATTTCCTTCCAAATATGCTGAAGTGGGCGTCTCAGGTCGAGCAACCGAGACACCAGACAAGATCGCTAGGATGCTTTTATTTACTGCTTGACTTTTCGGTCAATTGGATACACTGTGACGTGCAGAATGTCTCAGTTCCCATTGAAGCGTTTTTCCTGCTGCGAGATACCGGACCTTTTGATGACTTGCGAGAAGTCATTCACCTACCCGTTACTGGTTCAATAATACTAGCTTTATTGCGCTAACCTTTAGTGGCACCAAAATTTTAATGGGCCACTTGCACAGGAGGTGCGATGGTAGCTTCCGGACACCAGTTGGTGACTGCACGACCGCATCCCACGCTACTTGTATGAACGTGAGCGTTTGTAGGTAGAAAGTTCTTGAGGATGCCGCACTGGTTCTGTGACTATATTTCCTGATATCCGCTTACTCTCTCAGGTTGATGCATAATGCCTGGTAGTAAGGTGGGCGGTCGGTATGCCGACTAAACTATTCGAAATTTTAAGACGAGGCCTCAGACGTGGACTATTAAAGTTGGGTGTTAATAACACTGTAAAATGGTCCCGGTTTCCTTGGGGAGCAAACCTGAGGTGACACTACTGTTTTGGACGTGAGCTACGGACTGCAACGAACTGGATAATAATTACAGATCGTCCGCTGATTGGTTTACAAGTGGGCCATAGAGGACCCTAAAAGAAAGCAGTCCCCACAGTCGCTTGTACACTGGGATGGGATTTCGCAGTTTTGCCAACAATGCTATTGACTACTTGACGATCCAGTCAAGTCCCACTTTCTGAATTGGCTATCCAGAGAGTTGTTTTCAAACTTAGACAGTCAATTCAAATATATGCAACCATAGCCAGCAGGTTCTGCACAACACGCATAACCCCATCTACTTTAAACTTGCAGCTGATTATGACGAAGAGGAAATTTTCCTTTCTAACATACTTGCTGTCAGTCATGTAACATCTGCTATGCAGGTTAGTCCGCCTGAGGCAGATTGCAATTCATGGCTTTGTAAGTTACGTACCGATTCGTACTCATTGATACTGTTGTTCGCTTACCTGGTGACCATTTCTGTCTCCAAACTAATGGACACTCCTTGCGACTGGCGCCTGTTGCAAGGCTGCATTTTAAGAGAGACTATTAACGGCGTAGCATCATCGCTCGCATAAGCTCAACGCTGGCATCTGTCCGCAAACTCGGTGTTTTGCGTTGATTGGTGACTGAAGGTCACAGGGGAACGTCGCTCTCTCCCGCTTTGGCGCGATTACCGTAGGCCATTTGGACGTTGCAGTTTTCTTTAGAGGCTCAGCCGGGGTCTATTTGTATGATGTTGCATCGTTCCAAAAAGTTAAGTGATTTTAAGAGGAAGCAAATCGTGGTTGAATCGATCCACTTTTGGTTATTTGACATCTTCACCCATGCCAAAATCCCAAAGGCTGAAAATTCTGCCTCTTCCTAATATGGTTGCATTTATTGAATTGAAGATTTTCTAGCGATTCAACGCTCTTGCAGTTCTTGTTTTGTACTTGACTACTCTTCAGTAAGAAGACATCAAAAGCTGGAAAATAGACAAAGACATTCTAATATACCGGAACACTATTTTTGTGCCAATGTTAATTCTCAATGACGTTGGCCAGTTGGTGTCTTGATTTTTATCAACCATTAGGGGAATTAAAAAACAGTCTGTTTTGTCTTTACGCCTTCTTCCGTTCCTTTTTCTTCCCTTTTAGACACAAGTTGATCCCTTGTGTAATTGACAAAAAGTATCTGGAGGCAATGGATAGGCCGATATAAGGCACAGACTGATCCTACTCTTTCGGGCCGTTTATTCGCTACGACGCTGCTGCATACAAGCTGTCGACTGGAGAGCTCCGTCAAGTCGCAAAGTCGCCCTGTCCAATCCACCAACTGGCGACAACTCTTCAACCACATTAGCCAGCATCTGCAGCGAACATCGATGCATTTTGGCTAGAGTCGTCCTTTATAACACAATTAGAGCCCTCACTCCAGACACTTTAGTATTTTTTAAGCCCAAACTGTATCTACCAGGCAATTGCTGTTACCCAGATTCATAAACACGCACGCATATACAAATATGCACCTACAAATCCGTACAATGACGGCCCAATCCAGGCAACTCAAAAATGGCCGTCATCGGAAGAACAGTAGCTCTTGCCCCTGTTATAAATATGCTCCACATAGTTTCCTCTGTGACGCGACATTTTTGCTGGCAATTACAATCCTCTCGGGGGATGTGAAAAATGGCAGTAAATGGAGTGACCTCCCTAGACGCCATTGCCTCTCAAAAGACAGTCTCCCACTGTCGTTACACTACTTGCACTTGTACATTTCAAATAAACTGGCGGCGAAGTGCCTGATCGTAAGCATCTTGTGGTTGTGGGGCTATAAGAGATTCACGCACGATCGTCGATTCCCTAGATTCTCGGCAGGAAAACAAGTGAGATCAAAGAATGCCCGTAAGCAATCAATTGGTGTAGTCTGTGACAATATTAGAATTTGTAAAATTTGGCAACCAAGAAATCGAGTCTTCTTCATCATATGCTAACCTCCAATCGAACGAAATAGCACTCCTGATCGACTATAGGACTCCGAAAATGCAATGTCCTTCTTAATTATTTGGTGCTTTAGCTAGTAAGCGGCCGTCGTGCGCGTCAGTCCGTATTAATAGGCTTTTTTCATGTCCCGAAGATTGAACTCCAAGTCCTGCACTGAGTAATTTCTCAAATTATTCACTTGATTATTCGGCTAGATCGCAGTTGGTAGCCAGGAATGAAGAAGCGGACGGCGACCTTAACCCTAATCCTAACCTTAAACGTTAACCTAACCCTAACCGAAATAGTACACGTAACCCTAGCCCTTAGGCATAGCCCTAACTATATAACCTAACCGTAATACTGAAACCGAATCGTAAACTCAAACCTCAACCGTAACCCGAAAACGTAAACCTAGAGGACATAACCCTAACCCGAAAATCGGACACCATTAACCGATACCCTAACCCTAACCTCAAACGTAAAACGGAAGTCAAACGGATCAGATGTAATAAAACAGCCCCACAAAAAGCCTCAGTAAACAAACCCCAGCCACCTGTAATACGAGGCCTGGCTACCAGCTGCGATCCAGCTGATAATTATGTGGAGTTCATATACCAGAAACCGCTACAGAACGCTGGGGGTCCCACTGAAGAGCCGAACCCGTCGCGACAGAATATCGGCTAAACACGTGTCTTGGCTTTTAGCAAGTATCTATGTCGGGAGTACGGTATAATACCTTTAATATATATATATATATTGCCTAAAGTTCACAAGACGGATGTCCCACTACGACCGATAGTATCATTAATCGGGGCACCGAACTACAAAATTTCCAAGTGGTTATTCCAAAAACTTCATCCGCTTTCAAGGAACTGTGAAACTTCAATTGAGAACTCAAATGAGTTTCTAAAGAAATTAGAAGGAATCACAATCTCTTCTGATGAAATAATGGTTTCCTTCGATGTCGTGTCCCTCTTCACATCGATACCTCTAGATGTGGCAAAACAATGTACAGAAGAATTATTGATTTCCCATGACATAGACGTTCTTGCAACTGCCGTGCTCGAACTCATAGACCTATGCTTGGAAACCAACTTCTCCTTTAACCAACAGTGCTATCAGCAACTGAAAGGCGCTCCTATGGGGTCCCCAATTTCTGGTTTTCTCGCCGAAGTCACAATGCAGAAACTGGAGACTACGGCTCTTCCATCAATTAAACCTAAGTTGTGGCTGCGATATGTCGATGACAGGTTTGTTATCGTTAAAAAGGACCAATTGGAAGCGCTCCACAACAATATAAACTCGACGATTCCGGGGATTACGTTCACACTCGAAAAGGAAGTCGACAGTAAACTGCCTTTCCTGGATGTTCTCGTACAACGAAAGACTGACGGAACACTACGTACGTCAGTTTACCGTAAAGACACTTACGCCGAAATCATTCTACCTTACGAGAGCAACCAACCAATTTCTCACAAACGGGGTGCTGTCAAAAGTCTGCTTAATCGAACAAAAACACATTGCTCTGATGAAGAAGGTTATCAAGACGAACTAAAATTCTTGTGTGAATTGTTTTCGCGGAATGGGTACCCTAGAGATTTTGTGCGCCGATGCATGAGGCAGAAAGAGTCGGAGAGAAAGGAGCCGGGTAGCCCAAATCAGACGGCCGAACCGAAAACTTGGCGAACACTTCCTTACATTAAAAATGTGTCCGAACTCGTTGAAAGACACTTAAGGAAGCACCAAATTCAGGTGGCGCACCGACCGACGACTACTCTACGCACTCAGCTCGTGCACCCTAAGGATAAGGTTAACTATTTGGACAAAAAAGAAGTCGTTTACAAGATACCTTGTGAAGCGTGTGATGCCGTCTATTGTGGCCAGACTGGAAAACGTGCCTCTACACGCATCCACGAACACCAGTTGGCAGTGAAGAGGCGAGACCATCTATCTCAAGTGGCCATGCACACCCTGGACACCGGACACACTTTCGCTTGGGAAAAAACTCGCATTGTCGCTGTGTGCCCCGCAAAGAAAGGCCGAGAGTTCCTTGAGGCCATGCACTCAGACGATTCATGCATCAACAGGCACATCGAGTTGGATGCCGCGTACAGCAATCTCAAGGAGAGATAGAAGAGGCGGGGGCCAATCAGAACGGACTGACAAACACGACGGCCGCTTACTGGCGTGAGCGTCAGGCGCTTAGAGATTTTTTTACGTGTACTAAAGATGTTAACTGTGTTGGCGCATTTCCTTTCCGTCTGTGCCTGACGACGACTCGGGGAACCGGCGTCGAAAATTTGCACAATAAACTTCCTTTCCCAAAGCACACATTCGACTTCGATATATATATATATATCCCGTTCATCATCCCCAAAAGAAGACGAAGAAGAAAAAGAGGTGATGCCATGGACCACACTGTATTGGTGCTGACGTTTCGGAATCTTCCTCGATTCCATCATCAGATGAGTGGTAGGGTGTTTGTTCCTGCTAGCTCAGAGTTGTTCTGTCTCGCCGCCTGTCTCGTGTTATAGGCATGCCTGATACACGAACTCTGACCTGCTTGCTGGCGGACGATTGGCTTAGGTCTCTGCGTGGCCGACCGCTGGGACGCTGGTGTGACCTCTGCCCCCTGCCCGGCCGCCGCTAGGTCCGTGTGCCCTTGGGCCCTCCCCCCATAATTTGACGGGCCGATCGGCTGCCGTTGCATGTGGGAATCGTGGTCGGCTGTTTGGGCGCGTCGGTGGGTCGATGTCTCGCGTCGGTCGTCTGACAGCCGGCTGGCTCTCTCCCCCTGCTGGGAAGGTGACAACTGTTGAGAGAGCCGCGATTTGTTCGCCAGTTTTGTCGGCCCCGTCCGAACTGACTGGAACCTAGTACGAAGCGCCTGGTAGGCCGGATGAAGATCAATGGCTCAGTTGATTGTGTCAACTGAGGACCAACTTTCGAGAACCAGTCTGGCCATCTTGTCCCTCGCTCGGCCGATGACGCTTGCCTCCCCAAAGGCGAAACTGTGCTTCTCCTGTTGTATGTGGCCATATACCACTGACAGCTTATCCTCGCGGTTGACTGCAAGCTGGTGCTCGTGCAATCTTGTGCAGAGGCGTTTGCCCGTTTCACCAACATACCTTGCACTGCAAGCTTGGCAAGGTATGCTGTAGATCACTGCTGATTGCTCCGTTACAGGTAGCTGGTCTTTGGGCCTCATTATCTGCTGCCTGATGGTGGATTCCGGTTTATGGGCCACCCCAATCCCAAAAGGGCTCAGGATTCGTGCTGTCGCCTCAGAAACGTCCCTCATGTAGGGGATTGCGAGCCAGAACTTTGGCTTCTCATCGGTAGATCGTTCGCGGTTGAATCCTCTTCGACACTCCCGTATGAAGGATCGTGGGTAACCATTGGCTGTGAATAGGGAATGTAGGCACTTCATTTCCTCCCTCCTCCTGTCGTTGTCATTACAGTGTGTTTGAAATCGTTGGAAAAGAGCTCTGACACAACTGCGTTTGTGACGGATGGGGTTGTTACTCCGGAATTGGAGGATGCGTCTAGTATTCGTTGCCTTTCGGTATACCGTAGTTCTGATCCCCCCATTAGCTATCCTTGTGATGTTTACGTCAAGGAAGGGCAACTGGTTGTTGTCCTCCTCTTTCATTGTGAAGTAGATGTCGGGGAATATTGAGTTCAACAACACTTTGAAGTCCTGAACGTCGTTCCTCTTGATTACGACAAATGTGTCGTCGACGTATCTGGCCCAGAATTTTGGGGAGTACGAACGGAAGACCAGTCGCTCGAGCCTCTGTAGAACAGCCTCGGCAATCTGTCCAGACAGTGGGGAGCCCATCGGTGTTCCCTTCTTTTGTTCGTAAACCCGGTTGTTGAAAGTGAAGAAAGTTCTGAGGCACAATTCGAGGAGTTCGATGACGTGCGTTCGTTTAAGCCGTTGATCAGTTTCATCGTACTTCTCCTGAAGAAGCTCGTTAATGGTGTTGATGGCAAGGTCGGTTGGGATGGAGGTGAATAAGGAGACCACATCAAACGATACCATCATCTCGTCTGGCTCTATTTCTAGATGTCTGATACTCCTCAAAAACTGCTCAGCCGATTTCACCGTCCATTCGGAATCCCCGGTCAAGAAACGGAATCGTTGGTAAAGCCATTTCGACAGTCCAAAGGTCGGGGTGCCGCGTAATGAGACTATGGGGCGTAGAGGTACTCCCGGTTTATGCACTTTTGGCAGAC